TGTGGAAGAATACCCACAGCGCGTGCAGCTGCGAGAGCTGATGAGGAGGAGTGTTTGACGGGGATTGTTGGCAGCGAAACAACAGTGGATTTGCTTTTCTGTGTTTTAAATACTCCTGCTCGATTTGTATGCGTTGGAAGAGCTCTGTTAACTGACACCTGCTGAACAGTTCCAGCACGCTGAAAGTTCGGTTACCTAGGCAACATCTCCACTTCGAAAAAAAAAGACTTGGAAAAAAAGAGAAATTAATAATTTCTGACAGAATAAATAGTGCTTTTTGGAGACCACCGAAGAACAAAGTCCAGGCAAATCATGTTTGTATAATGTAAAATCTCTTTATGCTAATTTAATAACTACATGTATTCTTGAATTTTTTCAGCTCAGCTCCAGTATATCAATTTCACTTTAATTTGATTTGTAAATCAAATTAATAAATGTCATGAATAATGTCACAGAATATGTCGATATTCAATATTGTAAGGTCCCATATTCCTCATTGTCTTTCATGTCATTCTTGAGGCATTTTTGTTCATTACAATGTTTTCTTTTACTGGTAGTGTGATTTACCTGATAAGGCATTTGAAGTAGTAATCATATACCTCAATCAAGTAGTTGTACAAGCTCATACTATCACCCCATTTTTTAAATGGCCCTTTATTTATGCTAGCCATCAAAATAAACTTATCACCCTATTTATGCATGTTGGTTTCAGAAAAATAAAGTACATGGATTTTGAATACTGATTTAATGTTTTGCGGCTATTTTGAGTAACTGATCATCCTTGCCTGATCCACATTCACTAGATAGGCTTAGACTGTTGCATAAGCCCTGTTTCACCCCTTCAGTAAGAGTTTATAGGTGATTTAATCTACAGTATCGGATCCCACGCCTAGCGAAGATCAAGAAAGAAAACCTCAGGAAAAAACTCATATGTTCCGCTAATGAAGAGGCTTTGTCTCTGACATCAGGAGTGTCCCAGAGATGTGTAACAAGATGCATCATTTGTTGTAACATCTGTAACAGACTATAACGGAGGGTCAGGTCCAGGTGTGATGGTCTGGGTGGGAGGGTCTAGTCGCTAGCAAAAACGTTGATGCAACCCGAAAGCACGGCGATACCTCAGTCCAATCCGAAGTCCTGCCTTGCTGTCCCCCCTGCGGGCTCATCCTGACGTGACAAACATGCCAGCGGAACAGCGTACGTCCACCTGCTGCTCATGTAGCAACAGCACACTCACTCTCTTGTGAGATGAGGGTGTTTCCTGTTGGCTGAAACGCAATCTATCCACACACATAGAAGTACCTTGAACCAGAGCTCTTCTTCCCATTATTGCCATTTGCCATCAGAGACATTGGGCTTATATTTCCTGAACAGCAGCGGTTCAAATATTTGGAGAATGTACGTTTTGACCACATAGGTTCATTAATTACACTGTACCTACACGGTAATCACATACAGGTCTCTCTCTATCTCTGTAACAACACAATGAATAGTAGAACCAGGGAATATATTTTTCATATTCCTATTTTGTTTCAAGTTGCTGTGACATTAATGAGATTTATATTTTATTTTATTGTAGTTTACCTGAGAGTATAATCATTATAAAAAACATTCAAAGTATTGTTTTTGTCAAAGCAGATATAGATTGAGTGTAAGCGGTACACAGTGACTACATGCACCCACATGCATTTGGCTTGCTGGTTTTAAAAGCTTTCAATATTCACAGCAACTGAAGCATAAATCCTTCTCACTTAGTTATCATGACCCTGAGATAGGCCTTCTACAGTGGAAAGTTGGCAGCTAAAAAGAGTATGACTACTTCTCTAACACAGACAGCATGAATAAGTCTTTGCCTTGTTTGTTTTTCCACTTAAGAGAAACAGCATTGGACGTCAGCCAGGTATTCTGTCAAGCTCCAGATGACTAGATACCAAGCACTTCTCTATTTCCAAACTTTAAAACAGACGTACAGTATGGCTGAAAGGAGGCAGGGAAGAGGTGGAGGAGCCTTCAGACTACTAAGACCAGATGAATCTGTCTGATATGTCTTGTGCTTTTTTCCAGATAAGGTCAGGTCAAGAGCAGACAGACAGCATCCTGTGTGATGACCTGGATACATTTCAATTGATTAGTGTCAGGTAGAACAAACATTTCCTGGCTCTGATATTTCTAACAGTAATTAACGACAAAAAAAATGGGAAATTGACAGCAGTCGGACCAGTTCTGGAACTTTCCTACTGCACCAATTGTAATATTTAATTATTGCTGAGCAAGCACACCAAACTATTTATCATGTAAAGGCATATCATTTGTAATGTAAAGGCAAATGCAAGTGTGTCCCAATACAGCCAATACATTTCCATGCCCACAAGAGCTGCTGCACTCAGGAGAGAGGTGTCCATGAAGAGAACAAGGAAAGAATTGCTTTCTTGAAATCCGTTGTACAATATGACAAGCCACTGGGCAGACGGTGTGGACTTGTAAACTGGCAAAAGACAAAAAACGACACATCTCTCCAGGCCCTTGTGTGCCTCAGGAAAGTCTTCTTGGAGGTGGAGTTATGGGAATAGGGCTCCAGTCCAAACAAATTGTTGGGTATTGTGTTTATTTAGTGAAGTCTGCAATTCCATCTTTCAGATTTGCTAGGCTGCAACCTCAGTAGTTTCCTTTTACATTTATCAGTGTCGAATAATATATACTGGATGAAGAAATGAGCAGTCGGGAACTGAGCTGAACATAGCCAGAAATACAAAGCAGTTTGTTCTTTCATTTCTTGCTTATTTCATGGTGTTGAATCCCTAGACTACTCCCTGTGATGTGGCAGGGATAATTCCTGATTTTTTTCCTTTCTGCTCTTCACAACAGTTCACTCCAAAGCCCCTGCAGGTGACAGTTACTGCAAAAGCGAAGAGACGTGAATTCTCTGTCTTCCTAGTCTATAACACCTCATTTTAATTATTACATGTGACAGGACCTTTTGTCATTCATTGTCTTCCCATGCCTCCTTGAATACCTTCAAACACTGGGTGTGCTGGGGCTTGAAAACCAAAACAGTGCCACTAATTCTTCAAAAAAAGATCATTTCATGTGAAGTGGAGACATAAATGATTGTCTCAGAAATTATAACCTAAGTGCTTAATTAAAACATTTCAGAAATACAAAACCTAGAGATATATTCTTCCTTCCTGTGGTACCTTAATTACGTTTCTTAATTAATCCTTCTTTTACTTTAAAGGCATCCTAGGATATCACAGTCTGGGAACAGACACTTTTTAAATAAGAGGTGTGAAATGAAAATGATTTCTATTTTTACAAATAGAATATTTCACTTTTTTGGGGACAATATAATATTGTATATCTGAGTTAGGCCCTTGAAAAGAAAGAGCTGTTAGTGGGAACTGGTAGTTTGTAATAACAATTTTAGTCCTGTATTCACATAATCAGCATGAACTGGAGGGGGATTTAGATTTGGAGCCTAAAAAGAAGAAGAGATGAGTGCTCTTTACACTTGTCTCCCGAAGCACCACCACTGTGCGATGTGCCTGCAGCAAGAGAACAGGATCTCACTGGATTCCAAAACTATCTGCAATTCAAATAGGAAATAAATTGCAAAGTACAATTCCAGGTCCCCTGGAAGTCTGCTGTGAAACTAGGGGAAGCCCTGGATAAGGGATTCAGACTTCAAGTACTTGAAATCTCTGCTATGAAATTACTTTGTGGGGATTTGCAAGAAGCCAGGAGCAACAGTGTTTCAGAGTGCTCTCTATTCAATTATAATTGATCGAACTGGGATCTAAATAAATGCCTCATATTTGTTTAAAACGTCTCTCTTCATGGATTTCCTGCAGAAAAACAGACATAAAGCTTAAGTATAATTTACTTTGTTACTTTGTTATATCATGCTCTTAGTATTGATGTGCTTTCTTTCATGGGTCTCAACACTAGAAACATACACCCTCTCTTGACCTATTTGTCTGCCTTACAAATTGGTAAAAACACAACAATGGTTGGCAATAAAAAATAAGGTAATACCCAGTTCTTTCCAGTTTAGATCAATATAAGTCCTGTGAAAGATTTGGATTAATTAATGACAATATTGATACCTAATTCTGGGAAAACATCAAGAAACAAAAAACAAATACTTAGAAACCAACTCACAGTGCCAAACTCAAGAACACTTTTTTCATTAGAGTGTTATATCATCAAGGTGAGGAGTAGAGCAACGTTTTAAAAACTATATATCAAGCAATTATAAGATACCAAAGCTTGTTAAACATCTGGGCCCCGGTTGTGCAAAAATGCAGATTCATCTTTTCTTAAAATGAGCAGGATACAAAGGCATTCATTGTCTTGGCTTTAATGAAAGAGCAGTGAGAGATCAGCACTAACCTGCTGCTATGATTTCAGTCATAAGGGCTGCCTTTCTCCACCATGTATATGCGTTGAGAACCAGCTTTTATTACTGTTTCTTTACAGGCTCAATGTCGTGCATTAAATAATAAATCATTAGAAGGAACATTACAGTCTGTATTTACTATCATCTATCATGTTCCCCACAAAAACCATCTTCTTAAATTAAGAGTCAAATTGAAAAATATACAAAATGCCAGCTTTCTAATGAGTTTTTAAATGGACAGAGAGAACACTGATAGCACTGAAAGATTCTGTTGTAAATTCTAACCAACAAGGATCATGAGTGCTTGAAAAATTTTGTGTACATTTATATGCAGACGATGTAGTAAATCAACGTTTTTAATTAAATCTGTGAAATATCGTTTTGCCGTTGGTGCACCGGCAACACACAGTAATTGGGAAACATGTTCCAGGGAAAGTAGACCGATTTTCTTTCATGTCAGAAAATCTGGATTTTTTTTCCTGAAAAAAAAGTAGTCATTAGAAAACTATCAGGGTGTAATTGGAATTAATCAATAATTAAAGGAGCAATGTAAGCTCTACTAAATTAAAGTGTCTACTTAGAGTCTTAAATATGTAGTTTTACATTTGAATTTTAAATTTAATAGTGGACTTTTTCAGATTCATGTAAAACAAGTGGGAATTTTTAAGCATGACCCAGTATTCCCTGAAGATAAGGCACTAGTTTAAAGACGATGAGGATTATGATGATAAAGCACTATCTGAACCTTACTTTTTTATTAAAATCTCACTGTCCCGTTCCCCAATTACAAATACACACCTTGTAAAAAGATTACATTATTCCATGTCCTATTCTATGCTTTTAATGCATTTTTACTTTCATATTGTGTAACGGAAATCTGAAAGGTAAGATTTTTAAAATAAATGAATCTCTAGAAAGCCTGACGTGAATACAACGACATGGACTCTTTTAACATTTTCTTTCGCAATTATAAATCCGTATTTACAAGCCTGCTGCGCCTCAGCCACAACGCAGTTCATTGCAACTCAAAAAGTTCAGAAACGCAAGTTGTTAATAAAGAACTAGAGGAAACTGAAATGTGAAGGCAAACATATCTCATTATAAAATTCGTATTATACGCCATAAGGCTTCATATCCACGAAGCTCTTTAAAGTATCAGGTTTGTAGCTGCGTGCGGTATCCTTTATGACGTCATACACGAACGTTCGGAACCAAAGATTCCAAACCCGGAGCGACGCAGTTCGGCCGCATTCGGCTACGAGCTCCCGCTCGGACCGGACGCAGGGGACATGTTTCCTTTGCTCATTAAACTCGTGGTCTGTATTCTGGCGTTATTTACGCTCGACAACAGACTGTTCCAGCTCGCCGGCAGATTTCCTGCCGTCTTCAAGCTCTCCGGCCATGGCGCCCCATGCTTGGGCGTCGACCACGACTCGGCTGGCCTGTCGAGTCTACTTCGCTGGCTGGAGAAACCTCCGATTCGCCCTCCTCGCCTTGCACCGCCTGGCCTGGACCCCCCAGAACCAGGACCGGAATTACCACACGACATGAAAAAAGACACCATCTTCCAGCACCTCAACATCGGCACGGAGAGGGCGTGGCGCGTTGTCGCCTGGTGTCATCTCGTCGCTCTTCTGACTCTGTGGACAGCGACCATGGTGAGGAACTGGAGCAAACTAGACACTGCCGGGCCAGCTGGGAGGTCAGCTGCTGGTTTAGATGGTCTAATCAGTTGGAAGTTAAGAGCAGCAGCGACCGTTAGTCATGGGGAGGAATATACAATTGTGTCCTTAATTTGACGATATGTCCGCAAAATGAAAAATGAGAAGTCTTAAAATTATTATGCCTCCTTTATTATTGGGCAAAGCTTTCATGATCTGTCTGCTTATCTGTTATTACAATTGCCTCTAGTAAGAGCAGAGTTAGTAATGTTTATTTGTGTGTTGATCCGTTACCATGACTTCAGTGCCATGATGTCATGATTTCTCGTGCAATCAAAACGCCTCATCAAGTGAAGACGTCATAAGTGTGACCTTGACAACAGACGGCCTGACAGTGTGAAAATAAAAGTCAAAATAATAACAGAACTAAACTAAATATAAACATATAGTACTTATGAAAATCTGAACATGATGAAAATGAATTATGAAATTTGGTGCCGGAAACATCTTAAGCATAACTATAAAAAATAATTGCTTATTTGTACTACAGCAATTTAATAATTGCTGGACTGTATTGTCCAAAATATTTAAAACTGGTTGAGATTCTGTAAACCTTTTGAAAACAAATGCTAAATGTTTTATCCTCTCAGGATGTCTGTTAGCATCATAGAGCCTCTGAAAGTTTCTAGAAACATCCGGAGGTCACCTTGATTGCCACTGGGTATTAAAAGGGTTTGGACATAGAAGAAGAACACACAGTCCCGCCTCACTGTGGAGGGAGTCAGAGATGAGCAGTCTCTAACAGTGCTGGTGGCAGCGATGAAACACATTCAGAAGAGGTCAGCCCCAGTTTGAACTGTGGTGTCCATCATCAAGGTGCTCAAGCCCAGTTAGTGGGTCACAGTGGTCTGGGAGGACCACTGACAAGCACAGCCAATAACTGGACATTGTGACCTGCGGCTGCGTGTGTCTCCTGTGCTCTAGGACTGACTTCCTGTCTCACTCTCCTCCTCTGTGTCCACAGATCCTGGCCTTCAGAGGAAGGTCCTCCCCTGACCTCGACCCGGCGCCCTCTTGCCCCTTGGCCCCCTTACCCCCATCCTCTCTCGCCCCCAGACTGGCGGCCCCCCCATTCTACAGGTTCTACCCCTGCTGGGACCCCCCTGCCCAGTCCAGCGCCCCCAGGGTCTCTTGCTCTCCTCCCCCTCAGGCCCTGCTCTCCGTCGCCTGCCTCCTCTGCTCTGTGCGTCTCCCTCCCTGCCGCCCCGCTGCCCTGAGCTCTTCTCTCTCTCTCACCCTCTCCCTCCGCTGTGCCCTGAAGCGGCTCCAGGGGACTGTCCGCACCCCCCCCCTGTCCCGCCCTGGCCGCCCCTCTCCCCTGCTGCCCCTCCCCCCTGCGCCCTCGCGGCCTCGTTCTCTCTGCCCCCTGGCGGCTGGGGCTGTCTCACTGAGGCTGCCTCCCCCGTCCTCAGCCTTCCTGCCCCGATGCGTCCGGCTCGACCCTTTCCCTCCTCCGGCGCCCCTCCCTGACCCCGCGGTGCTCCGGAACGGCCCCCAGCTCTGCCTCTTCTCTCCGGACTGTGGGGCCCCCATGGAGTTCTGGGAGCTGGAGGGGGAGAGCGCGGAGCCCGGTCCCAGTGGGCGTGTCGAGGAGAGCAGGGCAGCGTGGGAAGGAGGCGCGAGACGGCTGGACCCCCTGAACACGGAGCTGGAAGGGCTGTGGGACGGACTGGGCTTCCTGTGGGACAGGGACAGCAGCGACCCCTGCTGGTGGAGCGTGGAAGAGTGGGAAATGGGCTGACTCACCATCTGCCTGACAGACCGAACTCTTTCACGGATTCATGGGCCTGGCTTTTGGACTGACACTTAAATTTGTTTTTATATATAACCTTAACTTTTAAGTTAACATTTAGGGAACATTTAATTCATACTTGTTTAACCTTAAAATTTCAATGAACACCTGGTTAGATTCAAGTAAAGTATTTAGTTCTAAAATGTTAATTTTGCCTCAATTATTAATTATCTTTCTTTTCAACGTCATGTGCTACTGTTTTGTGTTTAATTTTAAAAACAATAAAAACATTTTCTGTACTTTTGAATCTTTGTGTTTTTGCGGTAATACTAATAGATGGTCTGAGCTGAGTGTATTTCAGAGGTTCTGCTGAGAAGCTCTTGAGAGGCAGCCTTGAGCACTTGTGCTATTTGCTCTATTTAAGTCCTAGACAGGGGTTTCCAGTCTACCTGTCTATCTTAAACAGCTTCTTCAGTTATTTAAAAATCAGAAAAATGTTTCAATGATGCAATACATTTTTTAACGAGTCATCATTCTATGACTGTTAGCACAACCTTGCCCGCTGCTGACAATCGTGTAGAACAGAAAACTAAAAAGCCTTGCTGAATGCGTCCTTCTGGATTAACAAAAGAGCTTTGCTGGTCAACATACAATACCAGGCTGCAGGTAGACATCAGTCCGGCACTTTTAACAGGCATTCTGTGGAGGGCAGAGTATGTAAGTCAGAAAGAGCGACACCAGCCCCCCCAGTGATGATGGAGACGCAGTGCTGGATCCACTCTCTCTACTCTTGCTGTGATCAGGTTTGCACATTTTCTCAAGATTTGCCCAGAAAAGACAAGGCCAAGGAAAGAGCAGGAAGACTCTTATTCCATTAGTCTGTCAAGGTTGTGAAAACACCCACAAGCAATTGGAATGTGAGTTTGATGAAGAAACCCCATGATGACCTGCTGTATTTGGACGTGACAGAAAATTGGAGTTGACTCTCTTCCACCCACGTGCAAAGCAATGTGGGAAGTGTGTTATAAAAGGTTATGCAATGAAGAAGAAAAAAAGTGTTTAATTTCAGAGGAACTGCTTTTATTTTTTATTCTTAAAAGGCCATTCTGAAAATGCCAGCAATACTTTATGTAAGGATTTCATGGAGTCTGATAGTTCCTGGAGCTGGTCAGTTGTACTTTCTTGACCTGTGATGGTGTCATACCCCTTAGGGATGTGAATAGTATTAATAATCTGTAGCATGATTTTGCACAACGCACCCTACACCCTGCCCGCCCCAAAAACAGTGGAGCCTCCTCCACAGCCGAAACGCTGTGTTTTCCTTCTTCTTTTTTTCAGAATGGAGTAAACCTATTACTTGTTCCATCATTAAGTATGTGTTTGCTTAGGTTTATACTTAGAATTCAGTACAAATAAACATTAAATATCTTTTTGTGGTTTTCCAAATGTAAAAAATGTATATTTTGGGTCACAATTTCCTGTAGCACTACAGAGGTGAGGTGCTTATTTATAATTAAGTCTCACCAGATGCTACATTCACAGCATTTACAGTATCAGTATATCAGCTGTATCCCTTGAAGTCCAAATTAAATTCTTATGAAACTGACAGCAATCGGAAGAGTAGAGTTCGCTTTCTGTCTTGGATATGCAATACTGGAAATTGCTTTATTCCACCAGCGGACTTGATAACTGATAGGGCGTAATGGAAACAGACTGGATCTTGATCTCTGTCAGTAAGAAGAAAACAGTGCATGCTGACAGGTGGTAGTAGTAGGCTAATACATTCGCTAAATAGAAACGATAAAATATTCAGAATTGAAAGAAGCTTCTCCACTGCATTCTCACTTTGTCGGGTCTAGATTGACAGTGCACTGCAGGGTCCTGCGCTCTCACTGGGACTGCTGAGGACAGTCACTATTCTCACGTTCAGCCTTGTCATTCAAACAACATTGCTATTGTTGCTACTTCAGAAGGATCTTTGATTTACACTTTTTTTTATAATGTGTTCTAATGTCTAATGTTTCTTTATTAGCCCTATACAATTTCTTGCATTAGGAATTGTATCCCTACTGTTGTATCCCTACTGAAGTATAGTATGTGTACATAGATAGAGATCAGGTGCTATATATGGCCTGATGTAGATACCAATGCAAATCCTAGATAGTGCTATACTTTGAGGGATAACTGTGGTGGTCTTACTACAGTGTAGGTGTTACGTTCAGTTGTTTTTTTTTTACTCCCCTCCCATGTGGGGGTCCCTTTTTGGAAGTGGGTGTGTCCCTAAATCGGCTCTCTCTGTGGATTGGTGGAAGAGAGCGGTCCGGTTTTAAAATGGCGGTTCGGGCCGTCTGGAGAGAGAGGTAGAAGAGAGGTGGGAATAAACTACGCTGGGTTTCTGCGAGGCTGACGTTGGTTTGTAGTTTCTGGTAAACGCCAGATCTGGCGGGTTTGTTTATTTGGCTGTGGTGGGGATCGGGATTGTTGTGGCTCCTGTGTGCGGGGTTTTTTTTTGTTTGTTTGTTTTCCATGACAGCTTAGTTCAGTGTGATAAGTTAGCTTGCGGAATCTTTTCTTTGGCTTTGCCCCCCCTCTTCTCGGGAGACAGGTTTAGAGGGTATCGGGTTGTAGGAAAGTGTAGTGTTTTTATTTTATTTGTGTATTTCCGTCCGTTTAATCCCTGGCTCATGTGTTAGTCCCTATTCCCTCCTAGACTGAGCCATATTAGAGATGCAGCAGTAGGCCAGAAGAATGTTGCTGGGGCAGGGAATTAAGACCGAAGGCAGCAGGTAAGTTATTATGAACAGGTTAGTTTAAAAAAAATAGGGGTCCATGTCTATAGAGTATTAGGGGTTTGTTTGCAACAAAATCAGCTGAGTGATTGTGAATACTTTGGGTATTAAGCTTTTAAATGGAATATAGGAAAGACCTCCGTCAAATAAAGATATTGTTCTGTCGGTTGTCAGAAAATCCTAAAATACACCCTCTTTCCTCTGGCCTTCTCATATATTCTGTTTTTTGAGAAATGAAATTTGCTCTATAATGATATCCTGCAGCATTACCATCCTCGTTTTAAGCCCTTCCTGGCAGTTGTCAGCTATTTATTGCTCCTGAATGGAGTTTATCTGCTGGCTCATCTGTGAGCGCTTGCACAGGGTTTTGGAATTGTGAATAATATATGTTCCCAAAAAAACGCTCTGCTGTGAGATTATCAAAATGTGACCAGAACCAGATAAGCGTTGCTTGGCATCGCGCCGTGTCGCGGAACTTTGAAGTACAGCCAGCCTCCCCAAGCACAGTCCTGCCTTTGTACAGGAAAGTCATCACAGGTGTCAGTGTCACAGGCATGTCACCATGTCCTACCCAGACTGTACTGTCTGTCTGAGTGTGCACAGGCCCTCGTCTATCTAGGCTTAGTATTACAGCAACAATAAAATAACCATGTTCAACACAAATTGGCTTATCTGAAGCGGAGACATTACGAAGTTAACAAAATTATCATCAGCTGAGCCGCTACATCAAGACAATAAGAACGTTGCATTTAATATTTGTAAATTGCATTAAAGAAATTTGAACATCACAAATTTCAGTAATGTTATGAGTTCATGTGCTACAGGAAAAATTATTTGGCAAGAATGTTGAATGACTAACGACCTGTAAATAAAACGAAATATTGAAAGAGATATCGAAAGAAGACCACAAGTTCATGTTTTCTCATTGCTGAAGACAAAAATAAATATCTTCCTTATATGTCTTACTCTGACGAAATCAAAATATTGGCATCATTTCTTTTCAATTTAAAATGAATAAAGTATTTAGCATAGACTTTTAACCAAAGTGGAATTTTATACAGCAGGGCATTGTGCCAACGAATTGTGCTCAAACGGTACTGCAGCAGGGGCCTGTCTGTCATTTTCATCACAATTATTCACAGGGAGGTGATCAAAATTATTACTTTCTTTATAAATAACAATATATATTTATGTATAAATTGATCCTAGATAATTAACAGAATTCAAGTAAAAAAAGTAACCCAATGTGACTAATTGACAGTATACAGCAGCTAATGTGATTATTCATCCCAGGAAACACAATGTCTCAAAATCCAAATGATGAGTTTTCACCTCCGGTAGTTTTATACCAGTCAGGGCTTTGTGCTGGCCATTAGAGGAGATAGATTAAGTCTAACAAACACTGCCAGGAGTACTAACAAATCAAAAGTGTAGCAGACAACCGACACAAGAATGCGGAGTAAAAGAATAATGAAGACCAGTACATATGTACACACACAAATTACTCCTCTTAGACGCTGCTTATACAGAAGCACAGACATTTGCGTGGGTGGGTGAATGGATTACATTATGCCTTTTTTCTCTTAGAAACATCTTCTTAGCTGAATTATAATTGTGTTTCTGTCCGTCACTGTTTTTGATTATTTTTGGTACAGCACACAATGCAGAATAAATGACATGTTCTCCGGAAAGGAAAAATGACATGGATGTTTTCCTAGATGAGGATACTCATCTCCCTATTAGTATTCCTGCAGGTTATCGCAGTCCTGACCACTCTTTGATTGAAACTGGTGTACTTACGTCAAGCCCTGTGAGTTGCTGTATAAAGAGAGCAGTATTTAGGGCCTTGCTCCAACAAATGGAAGGTTGTAGGCTCAAATCTGTTTTACTTTCATGCACAATGTGTACTTCTCTTATATCAGTGAAATACTTAGTTGTATAAAAGTTGTATAGTTGTATAAAAGCATATAAATGTAAATCATTCTGGGTTAAAGCATCACCAAAACAAACTAATGCTAAGAAGAACAAAGCTCTATAACACAGCCTCTGAGCTTTAGCTTCGTAATTCAGCAGATGACAGACTAATTTTTGTTCCTTCACTGCAGGCTGCTGTTTTGTAATGTTATCTGTAATGTGATGTCTCCCAAGTTTTTCTGGAATTCTGTGGGCTATGTAAGTGCATGTCTTCCCTATATTCAAGAGAGATAATGTAATAACAATTTAACACAGATATTTTTCTTTTCTGTTTGGCAGACCTTAGGATTCATTAATGGAATCTGACTTGTTTCTTGTTTTGTTTTTTTTTCATAGCCTGTCAAATTCACTCGAACAATGAAGAACTGAATTGAATTCTGTATGTAAGCCCTCAACATAAGGACTTCTCTTGCGCAGTGAAAAGGCCCCACTGTGACCTTTAAGTGCTACTGTTGTAACAGGAAACTAATTGCAGCAATCCTGGT